CGAAATTCGGAGTTCCATATGAGGTGAATTTGGGGATTCCTTGAAACCCTTGTTTGTGCGTTAGTATTGAAGGTACAGGGACTGGGGGTAGAGAAATTTGGTTGATTTTTCAACTGGGTGATGTTTTCTTCGAGTGATTGGAGAGAAATGGATTGAGGTATGGTTTTCCGAATGAAGGTTGTCAATGGCGTTCTGAGCTGGTTTCTCAACATTTTGAGAGAGATCGATCTAAAACCCTGATGAAGCAAAACCCATGCGGAGTTTGTGGTGTTTTTGATGCCTTTAAAGTTTAAAGATCAAAATCAATTAAATCCAAAAAGACCATTTTACCCTAGTTTTCTTCCTATAATATCACTTTCTGTCATGTGGTACATAAGTTTATCCTTTACAAACTTCACAAACATTGCCCCTTTCCATCAATACAAAGTACAAACACAACCACTTTTCCTCATAATCTTTCATATTTTCATATCTAAACAATACAACATATAAAATAAAATAAAATAAAACAATAATAATCTATAGTTACAACTTTCCGAAAAGAAATCCTCGATTCTACCATAGTTTTATTTATAAAAACACCAGACAAATGTATCATGTATGAATATGTTATACGTATATAAAACCCGTATAGATTCAAATAACAATAGATCAACCAACACCTCCAGAAGTGAAGCTGATGCAGCAAAATCTTTGTTTCTTCATCTTTTTCTGTGAAATACCACTTTCATCAATGTTCTTCACCTCTCCATTAATGCCATCTTTTTCTGCTAATGTTGAAGTTATCGCCTCATTTATAACAAAAGAAAAAGAACTCGGTGTATCTTCATCATCAGAAAAACCATTTCTTGATTCTTGTGAGGATTTTACTGTTGACTTGTTGTTGACTTGTGTTACAAAACGTTTCGAATCGTTTGATTTTTTATCTTCAAGATCAGCAAACAAATTGTTAGCAAAACGGGATAAAGACATGGATCTTGGATTGAATCCGATTTCTCTAAAGATAGAAATAACTTTTTCCAATGTTCCTAAAGCTTGATTCACTTCTGGACTTATAATAACTTGTTTTCTTCCAACAATAATCTTTTTGTTTGAATCATCATTTAGTTCTTTCCCATTATTACTATCTTCATGTGGTTTTTCACTTTCTTCAATCTCCTCGATTTCACAAACGGGGTTTTGAGTTTTCACTTCTTTGATATCTTCATCTTTTTGTGGTTCTAAAATCTCATGAACAATCTTGATGTCTTCTTGTTTTGAAACCCCATTTGATTCTTTGTTTTCTATATAAAGTGCTTCACGAATTCGATGATAACATGGATCTTTTAAAGCCATGCTAAAATCTTCATCACCTTTGCACACAGAAGCAACTTCCTGTTGTTGAAAATACAATTAGCATGAATTTGATCTCAATCTTTTGTGTCAATTTTGTTTGTTTATTTGTTGTAAAGTTTCTTGAAAGAAACTACACCTTTTTATAGAGCTTGAATCCGCTTCCTATAAGTTGTCTTGAAACAAAGTTGATAATTGTTGGAGGAACAAAATCAAGTTTTATATCCATGTTTGCAATCGTCCTACAAAAATCAAAACTTTATATAAACATTTTTCTTAATCAAATTCACAATTTAAAGAAAAAAAAAAACAAATCTTTACCGAAAATAGCTTCTACTTGTGCTCACTTTTTGTATAGCAACACCTCCTACAATATCTATCCTTGTAACATTTTCAACATCCGGTATACCATCTTTAGTAAACCCATGAGTGTCTACATCAATGATCTCTGTCTCAGAAATCTGAAAGGGTATTTTAGTCATTTTGCAAATTGAGTAAAAAAATTTACATATTTAAAAGCAATTACCGAGTTTAAAAGCACTATAATGAGGCCATCTTGGAAGTAATCAATTGTAACATAATGAACTAAAGCCTCTCTTGTTGATAATGGCCATGAAAGCTTCATCCTTTCTTCCACATATAAATTTAAATATCAAAATCCATGAATAAAGATCTTATACAAAGTTTAAAAAAATTAAAACTTTATGTAATTTAACAAACCTCACTAAAGATATTTGTTCACCCATTCTAATCTTCTTCACAATTTCCGAAGATGTAACCTTAAAAGTCGGGATATTAAATTGAGGCCACCTGAGAAAAATATTTAAATTCTTGAAAACTTTTCGAAATATAATTGAAAAACAAAAATCATTTTAGTCACATTTTGTCTCAAATCATTCGTTCTTGAAACATTTAAAAGAAAGATGATTTGCTTGAAATGTTTCAAAAGTTGAAAAGTTGAAAACTTTCTCACCATTTTGGGTAGAGGCTTGCCTCACATGATATGCACATGCCTACATTCAAATGTATATGTTAAGAGAGATATTTCATGAGGGCAAATATGTCAAATCCTTTTTTGATCAAACTTACAAACATCTAGAGGCCCATCTACGTATCCTTCTGCTAGTAATGAATGAAAGGGAGTCCCTGTGGGCCCCTCTCTATACATAACACGGCAATCTTGATTATCGTGTTTTATCTGTCGACAAAAATGAAATGTTAACAACTAAACAAACAAATTTGACATAAAAGATGAAAAGAATCAATAAAAATGTTTTTTTTTTTTAAAAAAAACGTACTTTCCAACCATTATGTGATACTTCATCGACACTTCCTGAAGTGCTTCTAAGCATACCAATGAAATTGGCCACGTCTTTGGTTCTTTTTTGAACTAAATTATCACTATAATCTGTTTTATACGAAATATTTCAATTAATATACATATCAAGTATCAACACTTTGAGAATGATTTATAATAACTATACAAACCTTGATCTTCATGTTCTGATGATTTTGATATTTGATTTTCAACAAGCTTTTTGAGGAATTCCACGTTGCAAAGATCATCGGACTTTAGTGTTTTGTCCAGTTTATCTCTGTACTCAGTTATGTTTTCTTTTCCCTCCATTTTTGTATCTCACAGCAGCAATAATCAGAAGTATGATATGATGACGATTTTCATATATAATCTAGCCTTCCCTTCATGAAAAATTACAAATTTATCATAAGAAATTAACAGAAAAACAGTCATAAAGGAAACAAGAATAACCAAAATGAGTAAAATTTGATCGTTTTATCGACACTCATATGCGAAATATTACAAATTTTACTCGATCGTGAAAAGGGTAATGCTCAAAATAGCAAATTAGTCGAGAATTAATGGATTCGATCAACATTTTTAGGAAAAATCTGGCGAACTGCCGATTCTGGCCAAACAAAAATAGGGGAATTCACTGTAAACCCAAATAAAGCTGAAGAACAATCTCATTTACCCTTTTAGGAAATTCGAAATAAAACAATACCCATAATCTGAAATCTCGATCAATCCACAACTCACGAAACCATTAAAACACGTCTTCGAAAATTCGAAACTTGTGATTGTATTCTGATACAGAATTGAGATGTGATCGACGAAACGAACTTACAGTTTCGGACTTTCAGATAAACATGAAGTTATTTGGAGTAGAATTAGAGGGGGTTTATGTTTATGAACCCAACAAAATTGAAAATCTCAAGAAAAAAGTAAATGATTTGGGAGGATGAAAAGGAGACAAGATCAAATAATTTTAGATGATCAAGAAGGATACCTAACGTGGGGTTTTCTTGAAATCATCGGAGGGACCCGAAGCACCGTTGTATTGGTTGTAATTGTGTGAATATTATTAATAAAAGTACTGCGTGTTCTTGTCAACTTCGGAAGCTTGGGACGATGATGAGTTGACTCAGAATAATCGCAGCCTTGCAGCTGTAAACTATGTGGGATGGATTTCTTCATTGCTTCCTAGTTGTTATATATACTTTTGGTGTTAATAATTAAAATAGTTATTATTTAAATGAATTTTGAATTTAAAATATTGTTGAAAATGTTTACTTTTACGAAAAATATAAGGGAAGAGATTATTGGCATTTTTAACAGCTAGGCAACGATTTAGTAGATGGTAACCAACAGCTAAAACATAGTTTTTATTTCGATAAAATTAGTTATAAAATTTTTAAAGATGTAAAAAAAAAATTAGTTTTCATAAAAGTAATATGAAATACCTTATGAATTATGAGTTTATTTTCTAAAATAAAAGCTTAATGACGGTAAGAATTAAGATCGAATAAGACCTCTTTTTAATTCGTTTTGTAGAATTTATAAAAAAGTGGCAATTTGTTTTTTTGAATGATTTGACATTTTTAATTTTTAATATATAAATGAAAAAACGTTGCCATTTATCTATGCTAACTAAAAAGAAAAATAAAGTTTGTGGGTATGTTTGTTTTATTGTATCAACTATTTCTTTTAAGTTATCTTTTACCTTTTAGGTAAAAATATGATTGTGTATAAAGATAAGATTGTCTATATTTTATTTTTGGTTGCTTATTTTTAGAAAAAAAAATGGATATTTTATGTTGTTATAACTATCTAGTAAAATATCAATCTAATTACTTTTTTTTTAAAAGAATTTAACTTGCTCATCTTTTCTAACAAGTAACATGGCCCAGTAAATTGAATGTTATAAGTTGCTTTCATAATTCTAGCACCACCAATTTTGCATATTGATGATGTGTTCAAATTACGTACACTCGAATTGGATATGAAACATCAAATGGAAAGCAATCAAGCATGACCCGATGTTTTGATCATAATATTTGTTACTTATTTGAGGATTAAGTAGAAATATATTATTTTCCTTTATTTGGTATATGTTATTTTCAGGTTGGAAAATCTGTTAAAAAGTTTCAAAATTTTGGTCCAGATTATGATTTAGTTCTAAATTAAATTTTACTTATGAAAAAGGCTAGATTACCGGCTATTACACTCAGTTTCGCCCTACGAACCGGTAATCCTTATAATAGTCGGTTACCCCAGCTGGCTCGTCCTTATCACCTCCATTAACCTCCCCGTCACCCACTCCTCCTCTGTAAAAACCCTTTCTTACCCTCCATCGAAGCAAAACTTTAAAATGGCATCTTCAAGCTCAGTGGGAAGCAGGAGCAATATCCGATCACGAAGGCAAGCATTAAGGGCAACATGTTTTTGTAAAGATCCCGTTGGTAAGTGGACATCATGGAGGCCAACAAACCCTGGCAGGAGGTTCATCGGATGCCCTAATTTTCGGGTAAGTATCCCTTAATCCTCTTTAATTACATCTCAAATCTCTTCCAATTAGGTTTTATTTCCTATATAACGGGATGAGGAAAAAGATTGCAAGTATTTTGCTTGAGTCAGTCCCCCATTACCAAACAACCGGTACAGAAACATGTTGATGGATTTTCACAATAATGGCATTCAAGTAGACGATGAGTTCGTTGAAGAATTTGTGGAAGAAGCTGTGGATTTTCACAACAATGGCATTCAAGAGGTTCCTGTACAAGGTGAAGGTGAAAAATGGAAGATTGGGTTTTTTTGTGTTTGTTGGTGATTGTGTGGATTATGTTGAATTAGCATTAAGTTGTTGTAAAACTTTTAAATGGCAGTTGGATGTAAGTTGTATGTTGTTGAATGAAAAATTGGTTTATGGATACCTACTGTTTAAGCAAATGAATGATGTTTTTCAATATAACATAATGACCAAAATGGATGTAACTTATACATCAACAAAACATACCAAAATTACCCATAGTGTTAACAATAGAGCCATATTGTATATTGTTTACAAAAGAAATGGCATATTAACAAATTTACCAAAATGGCTTCCTAACATATTTGCCCAAATAGCCCATATAACTACTTAAATCCTAACCAATCTAATCCAAACTAAGAAGTTTTTCTAAATGCATTCCTATTCCTTTCTTGTCAACCACAATTTTCTTCAACATGTTTTCAGTGATCCTTTCAGAAGGTTTTCTTTTTCTAACCTTGACTTGAGTTCTAACCCTAACTTGAGTATCATCAACTCCCTCTTCATCATCCTCGGCTCCATCTTCATCATTGTCCACCTGTGATTCTTCATAGTCACTCTCCTCCTTGTTTTCATCATTGTCCTCCTGTGTTTCTGGTACATGCTCTCTCACAAAAGGCACATCCTAACATGGGAAAAAACACAAGTTAGTTATGTTATTGAAAAATAAAATTCACTCTCAATGTTATAAAATATACCTTTGCAGCTTGTTTGGATTGGTGAAGCAAAGCATCAAATCCTTTAAGTTGTGATTGGCTGATATTAAGACACAAAAGGATCTCTGCTTCACTGTATTTTGATTCTCTAAGGTAACTAAAATCATGCAGTATTTGATCCAGACCATCCATATCAAGACCATCACCTTCATCATCAATCTTAACATCTGTTTCGTGTGTTTCTGGTACATGTTCACTGTCAACAATAGGTGCTGTTTGGGTGATAAATTGACTCTCAACATTAGGTGTTGTTTGGGTGACAAATTGAGTCTCAATCCTAGGTTCTTTTTTCCCAGAACTTTCACCTTCTTCATAAACACTGGTATACCCTCTTCCACCACTTCTACCCCCTCTTCTACCACCTCTTCCACCACCTCTCCCAAGTCTTGTGCAATTGATCAATTCTGGATTCAACCTTGGCCTTCCTATTTTCTTCTTAGGCTTTGGTGTTGGTTTGAATGAGGGATTCTTGCAAGACACTTTATTGTCCCCCATTTGCATACAATTCTGACATTGGACAGTTCTACCCTTAGAGGAGACTTGGGAGAACCTGTCTTGATGCTCAGAGACATGCCTTTTCCTTTTCATACAAGGCCTTCCTGGCATCCTTCTTTCAACAGGTGGTAGTGGTTTGGTGTAAGGTGTTGGTTCCCACATATTACTGCCATTAACAGGAAGGATGTTAGACTCATAAGTAGCTAAGAACTTGTCTTTACCAAACCATGTGCTGATGAATGTATCTAAATCCTGTTGTGTGTAAATTATGGTTGCTTGGGCATGGACACAGGGGATCCCAGACAACTCTTAAAGTCTGCATGTTCAGTACATCCCCTCTAAGTTCACTCCATATGAGTGGAAGTCATTTCTCACTTCAAAGGCATTCAAACCACTAGGATGAACATACTAACTTCTGTAAACACATTAACATTTTTAATTAGTATACATATTGAGTCTCAATACTAAACTCATACATTGTCTTAATTTTATAATACTTACTTGGAATCAAAAGCAAACTCATCCATTTTCTTAATAGGTCATGGACACACATTATTCACCCATTTGCGTGCTTCTTGCATCATGTTAAATAACAGTTCCATCATATATAGTCTAATCTCCTCAATCATGGCCAACAAAGGCTTCTTTCTGACATCAAGTATGATGGCATTAAAACACTCTGCCATTCCATTTTCAACAGCCTCACATGCCATTCCACCTTTAAAAAATGCCCTGCACCAAGATTTAGGCTCCCTTGCCATCAAATAATCATAAGCAGTAGGATTGACTTATCTGATCTTCTCCATATTCAATTTGAAGTCTCCTTCAACAGTTGACTTGGCAACTGTCCAAAAAATATTCTTGAACTTTATACCACTGAAGACCTTTCTAAAATTTGCATACACATGTCTTGCACATTGTCTGTGCTCTACATGTGGCAATACAACCGTTACAGCTTCCAAAAGACCCTATCAGTTACATTAAAAAAATTCATTATTAAATGCTTGATACATGTATAAATGAAATGAAAAAAAAGAGATAATCAAAAACATTACCTTGTGTTGATCAGAAATACCACACAAATCCAATCCTCCTTGTAATTCCAGGTCATCGTGTAATAGTTCCAAGAACTATTGTCAGTTGGGCTTGTTCTCAATTTCAACTACTGCCCAAGCAATAGGATACACATGGTTCTTTTCATCCCTCCCTATGGAAGTTAGTAGCTCACCTTTACATTGTCCTTTCAAAAAACTCCCATCAAGCCCTATAACTCTTCGACAACCAACTTTCCATCCTTCTTTGATAGCCTTAAAACATGTATACATTCTATGGAAAGTAGTAGTGTTATCAGGGTTTACAGTGATAGATATTTGAATTGTACTCCCTGGATTGGACCTCGTCAGCTCATGTCCATAATCCTAAAATTTTGCATAGTGATCACTCAACTTTCCATCTATTAAATAAATTGCCCTACACTTTGCTCTATAACATTTTGACCTGAAACCTTGCAATGGAACCTGCTTTGAATAATAGCTTACATTTCATATTTGGTTTCCTAATCATCTCCTTCAGAAACTGCCTAGCTATCCATGTGGGATCCATAAGATTAGCATTATGGAAATTCCTAACACAGGTATGTTGAACAACCATTTTTTTGATTTGGAATGATCTTTCAGTGCTCATCCATGAGGCCCTTACAACAAAGGGACATTGAAATTTCTCAGGGTCACTTACACATACAGCTACAAGCCTTACACTATCACATTTCTTGAACCTAATTGGATAACCCCTACTTATAGAGTAATTTGTCAAACAAAGCTTTAGTTGGTGTGGTGATTCATACCTCTCTCCAAGAACTTGCTTCATATTATTCCATTTCACCTTTGGATCATGGGTTGAGTATTGAAACTGCAATTTGTCTTCATCGTCACCCTTACTATCACTTTGTTTCTCCTGCGGTGCTTCATCTTCCGACATTCCTTCAAAATCATTTAGTTTTATCTCAGGTATGGTGCATTCATCAAGCGCTTCGTCTGTGAGAGTATTTAGGAACTCATCTTTGCATCGACTTCTTTGTTTGTGTTTGAAAAACTCATCCAATTCCACATCAATGGTATCGAAGTCATCTACTGTCTCCATTATCACTACAAAACAAAAATTAATCAAATATTTTAAGGGAAACAAGATATTGGAGAACCACATGGATTTTCTTACCTTTGATTCTTCTTAGGTAACATTTTACTTCGATGGAGGGTAAGAAAGGGTTTTTATAGAAGAGGAGTAGATGACGGGGAGGTTAGTGAAGGGTGGTAAGGACGAGCCAGCTGGGTAACCAGCTATTATAAGGATTACCGGTTCCTAGGGCTAAACAGAATGTAATAGCCGGTAATCTGGCCTTTTTCATAAGTGTAATTTAATTTAGGACTAAATCATAAACTTGGCCAAAATTTTAGGAATTTTTCCCAGATTTCCTATCAGGTTTTGTATATTTGTTAATAATATTTTAGTTGTTAAAATGCTATTAAAAAATAATAATAAATAAAATAAAATAAAAGTTAATTTGGTGTGATTTTGGTAATTGGATCAACTTCATGGGTTTGGGACAAATATACGAGAAGTAAACAGTTATCCTTAAAGATTGAATCTAATTTGCAACTTTCAATGTACTTTCTAATATAAAAAATATTTATATTGACATATAAAATAATTAAAATATGTGATTATCTTTTAAGATTTTAAATAAAGTCAGGTATAACATGAAGACAATATCAAGCACGAGACATGACGAGTCATAATATTTTTAATACATGAATTAGAATGGTGATTCTTTGTATAATATATAATTTTAGACATGATGAGTCATAACATTTTTAAAACATGAATTAGAATGGTGATTTTTTGTATAATTTATAATTTTAGATATGCATATATATTTTCTACAATCATCAAGTTTTTTTTATATAATTTATAATTATGTATGAATGCATATGAACTAAAAGCTAAGTTTCTTATTACGATGATGTCAAGTGCAAATTGTGGGGCGATGACACATGTTTGAAACCATAAGGTTGGTGGATGGTGGATGTATCCATTGCGGCTTCCAAAATATAGGTGGCGATATAGTTGTGGTAACACTTCTTTGGCCAGAGATGTACCCTGGATTCTTCATTTGGTAGGTTGTTGAACTCGTGATCTCTCTCTCTCTTCATTGACCAATCAAAGAGAAAAAAATAGATTTTTTTTAAACTTTTACCTACATAAATACATATATCAACATTTAAAACAAACTACACCCAATTCTATTTTATCTCCAATTCCATCATGCACCGCTACAATTCTACTCCGCAAATCTCCAAATTCGTCTTCTACAAGAACATTTTTGTTATAATTAATACATGTAGTTTTCTTAAACGGTTCTGAAAAACCTAATTCCAATGTTCTCCTCCGAGGTCTCCCAGTTTCGTGATACTCAAAACACAGAGTTTGAAGAATCTAGTAACAAACTTACTCCCGATAGAAATCAACAAGGAAGGGTGTGATTCGCTTCAGGAAGAGGGGGAAATTAGGTCCCCGTTACATTGGGCCATTCAGGTGATGGGTTTTATGCATAAGAACAATCATATGTGTTCATACAAACCCTAATGTTTAGATCTAGGTTTCTTTATTGTACATGCAATGAATCCAAGATTTATAAACCCTAATCTAGCATACAAATAACAAAAACTAACATATAGAATCAGATCTAGATGTTTACCTCTTCAATGGAAGCTTGATTCTTCTTTCTTGGAGCTTAGAGTCACAACTGTAACTCTTCTAATGGCTTACAAACACCACAAGCAAGAAGATAATTATATGAGAGAGGTGGGAGGATGCTAAATTTGGCCCTAGGGTTTCCTTGGAAGCAAGTGGCCAAATTTGGGAGCTAGGGGTCCCTATTTATACTGCTAGATGCGAGGGTTTCAGTTAAAACCCTGATGGATAACATAGCCATCAAGCAGCCCAAGGAACCTTCTGGAATAAGGCCCTTGGATGAAAATATGATGATCCTTCATCATAATTTCGTTCCCCCTTAGTCCATTTGGTTTCCTTAGCCCAAAACTTAAATATCACATATTTGACAGTTTATACCCCTTTATTTAATTAATCTTTTTTATTCACCAAATTAATTCCTAATTGATTTATAACCAATATTAATTAAATAATATGAGTTCTCTTTTAATATATTAATCTTATAACATATTAATAAATCATAATATCCTCTCTCTCCTTAAATTACCTTGTCAAGTTGCTCTGTTGAAGGCAATCCAAAAGACTCATGCATGACCGGGTCAAGTACATACAAAATATAGTTACGGACTTAGACACTAATCCAATAGTCTCCCACTTGGATAAGTCTAGTAACTATATCTCACATATGACTTCAGGATCCGATTTGCAATTGTAGCTCTTGCACGTCGCTGTCAACTCTGATCAGTAACTCGTCCTTCAGAGAAGGGATCGTATAATCCTCTGTTCTAGATATCATGCTGACAATACTTATTGTCCAGCACTTGTTTCTCGATCTCCGATTCATTCGACATAGAATTAGTTGAACACATCAACTCCATTCTGACCGGGCCCAGCACATAAGTCAAACCAAATCATCAAGTGGCCAAGATATCGCCTTTATTCTCATATAATAAAAGGAACAGATTAACTTCGACTCATATGCATCTATTCTTCACCAATTAAATCATGCACAACAACGTGTTTTATAACATCAAGTTACTAATGTGTTTACACATCATCAACGCATAACCAATCAGTAAACAATAACCATATCTCTAAGTTTTAAGACTATATGATATTATCGCTTTGTGGTCACTTTAGGTAAAACACCATGAAGTGATACCAGCAAACGTGGGTTTATTCCAATGCTCAAATCATATTCATAAGCACTCATGAACTTTGCAGCAAACTTTGCTATGCCCAAAACCTTTTAGACAATCTACAAACAATTCATGACAGTCTTCATTCACACCTACTTCCAAAATATGAATGAATGTGGACTGTTCGAATAATCTTATTATTCAGGAAGTCAAAACATGCAAAATTGAAACAATAGATAAATAACCAACACAAGATAGTAGCTTTACTCATAAATAACACAACTTTATTTATTCATCAAAATGTCAAGTACAAAATATATATTACACGTTTCTAATCTATCTAATCCAAACTTATATCATCCTTCAGCCCAATGCTCCTAGCGTGTTGCAAGTGTTTGACCCTACTCAGTCCCTTCGTAAGGGTATCTATCGGGTTTTCTTCTGACGATATCCTCTTCACAACGAGGAGTCCCTCTTCTACCCGATGTCTGATAAAGTGCTATTTTCTGTCGATATGTCGAGATCTACCATGATCTCTCTGTTCCTTGGTTAAGGCAACCGCCCCTTCATTATCATATAAAAGTTCCATCGGCTTCTTTATGGATGGCATAACTCCAAGGTCTCCAATGAAGTTAGTCTACCATATAGCCTCCTTTGACGCTTCACTTGCCGAAATGTACTCTGATTCACACATTGAATCAGCTACGGTCTCCTACTTGGAACTTTTCCAAGTCACTGCTCCTCCATTTAGGGTAAAGACCCAGCCCGACTGCGATCGGTAACTATCCCGATCCGTCTGAAAACTAGCATCACTATACCCTTGTACCCTTAAGTCATCACTCCCACTGAGGACTAGAAACCATTCCTTGGTCCTTCGTAGGTACTTAAGAATATTCTTAACTACAATACAATGAGCTCTACCAGGATTCCCTTGATATCTGCTGACCATGCTCAAGGCGAAGGCCACATCAGGGCGAGTACAATTCATAGCGTACATGATAGAGCCTACTGTGGAAGTGTAAGGTACTCGGCTCATATCAGAAATATATGCCTCTGTACTCGGGCTTTGAGTCTTACTCAACTTGGTATTGCTTTTGATTGGCAACTCCCTTTTCTTGGAATTTTCCATATTAAAACGCTTTAGTACCTTATCCAAGTATGTATCTTCACTGAGTCCTATCAGTCTCTTTTCCCTGTTTCTTACTATCCTTATTCCCAGAATATAAGCAGCCTCTCCGAGGTCCTTCATAGCGAAACATTTCCCAAGCCAGGACTTGACCTCCTGCAAGGTTGGGACATCATTTCCTATGAATAGTATGTCATCAACATACAATACGATGAAGCTCACTATACTCCCACTGGCTTTGACATATACACAAGATTCATCTTCGCTTCGCAGAAAGCCAAACTCTTTAACTTTCTCGTCAAAACAAAGATTCCATCTGCGAGACGCTTGTTTCAATCCATAAATGGATTTCTCAAGATTACACACTCTATTTGGATGCTTTGCATCGACAAAACCCTCTGGCTGGTTCATGTACACATCCTCAGCCAACTTTCCATTAAGGAAAGCGGTTTTCACATCCATCTGCTAGATTTCATAATCATGAAACACAACTATTGCAAGGATTACCCTAATAGAATTTATCTTCGCAACTGGTGAGAAGGTCTCATCATAGTCAACTCCGAGAGTTTGAGTAAAGCCCTTCGCAACCAATCGCGTTTTATAAGTGTGCACTTTCCCATCCATGTTCGTCTTCTTCTTGAAGATCCACTTGCACCCGACTGTCTTACGACCCGGTACATTATCAACCAAATTCCAAACTTGGTTGATGTACATGGACTGAATCTCGCTGTCCATCGCCTCTTTCCATTTAGCAGACTCCAGACCTGCCATGGCTTCTTTGTAGCTGCTAGGTTCATCCAAATTCTTAGTGTTTCATCACTAATAAACGTATCCCCTTCAGTAGTAATATGAAAACCATAAAATTGGGGTCGAACACTAACCCTACTAGAACATCAAATAGATAAGGACTCGTCAACGGGTTCAACGGGAATTTCCTCCTTGGGTTGAGTGCCAGTGTTAGAGGTTCCTTCATCGATTTGCTCTTGAATCTCTTCAAGATCAATTTTCCTCCCACTGTCCTCTTGGCTTGTCAATTCCATTTCTCGGAAAACTCCTCTTCTAGCAACGAAGACAACATTGTCACTCGGTCTATAGAAAAGATAGCCAAAAGACTTCTGTGGGTATCCGATGAAATAACACTTCTC